CATGACTAATTAATATATGCCTCTCTTGTCTTGTCTTGTGTTATAGGCAGCAGTCAATACCGGACATTTTATTAATGTTTTACTTCCAGGCAGTGAAGTTCCACAGTCGTTCAGATTTCGCAAGGACGTAGGTGTACTTCTTCCAAATCATAACGATCATTTGTTGGACTTACCGACTGAAATTCCTTGGACTTCCGGATTCGAGAACTTGGTTTTGTGTACTGTTTGTGAACCTACGAAATCATTCAGTAGGCCGTAGTTTCCTCATTTGTCACTTTTGAATTCGACGTATCCTGGTAATGATTACTCCGTGTCAGAAGGATTGACAGGGGCAGGTCATGTGGGGCTGCGCTATATTGCAGTACCGCGCAAAATTTCATTACCTGCTCACATGAAGCGAAAGAGTGATGATCAATTAAAGTCGTCTGTTCATCGATTTATTAATGTTAACTACAAAGGCGGCAGAGGGCTCTTCAAAAGCTATGGGGTCCACCTGTCTCTTAACAACATGCCAAAGGATGGTTTTGGTTTTTGCTCAATGCCAGAGGACGGTGATGATGATGAAAATAAAGAGGAATTAGATGATGATGATGTAGGTGATGAAGTTCGACTCAGAAAGAGAAAAAAGATGACCTCCCTCTGCATTTCAATGTGAGTTCGCATCACTTTTCGTTTTCTTTTAAAAAAAACTTTTTATTAGCCTCCCCTTCCAGCACAAAATTAGTAATGATTACACCACTTTCTATTTTTAATATTTTTTTGGGTTTGCAGTCGCACTCACTTAAGGACCTAAAAATGATATTTTGTGAGCAACTATTCAATATAGACCATTAGATTAATCTAATGGCATAAATAACTAGTAGTTTAAACCCTAGTTATACTCCTTATAAATCTGCAATAATTCCCCCTTAAAAAAAAATCTGCAACAATTGTAAAAAAATAAAAAATAAATTAGGGAGACATAGTTCGGATCTATTAAAAATTGAGTCTTAGGAACCAAATCAAAGGTTGGCCTTTTATTCTTTTGCTATTTTTTCTCCCTTTTCTCGTTTATGTTCGTTTTGTGTATTGGATGTTGAAAATACAGTCACTGTATAATTAGTTATGGTGGGCCCTTTTTTTCTTCCTCGCTTCCTAATTTGGACACTTTCTTTCTTTTTAATTATTTCCAGGGTTTAATGAAAATACTTTTCTATTCTAGAAACGGTCTAGGGTTTAATGAAAACACTTTTCTTGACAGGATCCGACCCAAATTCCATTTTGGAATCCGAGCCGAACCCTGTGTGTGTCCAACACGTGGCAGGTGCTAGGCACAAATGACCAAATTGCCCTTCTAACCAAACTTCAATGAAATTCGGTAGAGTCTCCCCTGTAAATTGGACATTTCCCAAAGATTCCCACCTGTAAAACAAGCATATATGTTTATATATAACCCAACTGCCAGCATGTATCAAATTATATCAAAAATGAAGCATCATACTATTCTGGCCTCAAGCCTCAATAAATCGAATAAATCATTATGCTAATAAAATTCATCTCAGCTTTCAGAATATCAATAATACACTAACATTCTCAAAGACTCCAACTCGTGGCTACACCTTATAAACTTAAGCTGCCTACGTACCCTTATTGAGCGATCAAGCCACACGTATTTATTTCCTCTACTCATGTCAGTCACACACTGAAAATAAGTATGTCATACACTAAACTCTCTTATTTTAGTTTTAGAATATCTCAGAACTGAAATTCTCTCCACCTAGGCGTAACTCTAATCTTGATCCGTCAACTCCATTAATACCGTCAATTTCATCTTCGCAAGCCGGGCCGTAATCCTTGCAGGTCTCGGAGATACCGCTTTTATCCAAGCCGCAACCTATAATTAACTATCGACCAACTTGAAACACGACTTAGATAACTCATTCTCGGTTAGGACTCGTCCACATGACCATTTTATCATTTCTCAAAATTTCTAACTGCCTCGGAAAACTCACGATCAACCGAGGTATCAAACTGCCTATACTTAGTCAACAGGGCTGTGGGGCCCACAACCTCTTATCACCAATCCGAAAGTCCCTAAAGGTTCCAATATGCCTAGGACACATGTCTCGAGAGTTTGGTCTTGATCGGACGGTCGGATTACACACGATCGGACGATCGGACGATTACTATAAACCTAGGTCTAGGGTTCAAACGTTAACCAACATGGAATCCATAAGTACCTACGCGCTCGTGAGAACAAGGGGACCATTTTAGGACCTAAAGCCAGTCCACTGCCAAGCCCACACGCCGCCGCACGCGCCGGCAGCGTGTGGGTGCCTTGAGTACATTCTGGCGGCCGAAAAAACTCCAAACTGCCAGCCAAGCTTCCTACTCTAGGTGTAAAACCCTATTTAGAACTACTTTTGTTCTTGGACCCACCCCAAAAACTGGCTGGAAATGGCCGGAATTGTGATCCCAAAATCGGTCAAACCCTAACTCGAAAATCAACCTGTCAAACCTAGAAATTTCTCAAATCCTACCTAACCATCAGCTAGAGCCTGAAAAGTAGTCGTAAAACCATACCTTGATTGCTGGAATTGGTGGCTGGAGAAGAGAGATTGAGAGGTTTGAATCTTGGGAAAAATCGGCTGGGTTTCCGAGCTTTTTCGGCAGTTGGAGTCGTTGACGACGTCGAGGGTGTGGTGAAATGAAGAGTTGAGGTGGTGGCAGTCCAATCTAGACCAGTCCCATGGCTGGTGGCACGAAGGGCGGCGACGACAGCCCTCGGAGCCATTCGGCTGGAGAGAAAACAGAGAGAAGAAGCTTTGTCACGAGGAGAGAGATGAGAGAGTTTTAAAATCTGATTTGCAAATTTCCATTTTGCCCCTCACCGTATTTTGATTGTATCTTTCTTGATACAACTCGGATTTGAGCCCACTACATGTCTACGGACTCATCTCGATGTGCTCTAACGGTACACTGAAATTCCCAAATTCCTTCATGAATAAAAAGTCAACTTTTAGACCTAAAAAAATACTCTGAGGGTATTCTAGTCCTTTCTTTGAATAAAATAATAATTAAAAATTAATTAAGGATCGGATTGTTACATACCGCTTCTATCCGTGCCGGAACCTATAATTAACTATCTATTCAACCCAAAACAAGACTTAGATAACTCATTCTTGGTCAGGACTCGTCTACATGACCATTTTATCACTTCTCAAAGGATATAACTGCTGATTTGCAAAGGAAAAATGACCAAAGACAACATCTTTGCCCCCAAACCATTTGCTAATCCTAATAGGTTAGATGGTTAAACGACCTAAGACAACACTCCCCTCTACAATGGTATACTTGTAACCTATGCTTTCTACAACATCCCAAACGGGATGCAATCTCCAACACTGCCTAAGCTCTCGAATCCAACATACCCACAACTCTTTTACTTTCCCCAATCCTCAACATAACAATTTATGTCCGCAATTATAGTTCCTGTCGAACCGTGTACTTTCAACCTGTATATTATGTTTTTCATATGAAAACGTCAACACATTTTCCAAACCCTTCTGGATGCCCTAAACTCAGTCATACCGAGAAAACGAAATAATCTGATATCACATCAGGCACTCCACTAGAGTAAAGATGCACACAAGCCAAGTCTACAGGAATTTAACCTAAAATAAGGGAGTTCAGTGTATGACATACTTATTTTCAATCTGTGATTGACATGAGTAGAGGAAAGAACTACATATGGCTTGATCCCTAAGTAAGGGTACGTAGGCAGCCTAAGTTTACAAGGTGCAGCCACGAGTTGGAGTCTTTGAGATTGTTAGTGTATTATTGATATTCTGAAAGCTTAGATGAATTTTATTAGCATAATGATTTATTTGATTTATTGAGGCTTGAGGCCAAAATAGTATGATGCTTGATTTTTTATGAATGTCAACCCGGGACCCTGTGGGCCCACGACCTCTAAATTCTAATCCGGAAGCTCCTAGAGGTTCCAATATACTTAGGACACAAGTCTCGAAAGTTTGATCTTGATTGGACGGTCGGATCGACCACAATCGTACAATTTGATAATAATTGTAAACCTAACCCTAAGGTTCGCGATTTCGAAGTATCCGAGACTCCAATTCATGATCTGTCGAATCCTACACGATCTTAGAAATATGAGGTACGACATACGAGAATTTGGGTTCGATCCAATGGTCCGAACCTATTGAACCTAGATATTGCACAATATACAAAATCCGTTTGAGGCTCAAACAGTATCCAAATGTGAGGAAAGCTTTTGTAGGCATAGGAAATGTTTCTAAAGTTAGTGCATGCACTTCTAGGAGTCGGGGGTCCGGGTTTTATTTAAATACTTATGCCGAGCAGTTTTTTTAATTAAATATTCATGATGTTTTAATTAGGCACATGGGCTCGGAACGACCCATAGGAAGGACCTTCAAGGGGTCCAGCTAGCTCGGTCCAGGAGTGAGTGGACTTTTACTTTCGTAAATGGTTTTATGCAATTTAAATTCATTATTTGATTTGTATAAGCATGCAATAGATTGAGGGTTTTCTAGCATGTATTGCTAAGGTTAAGTATTTTATTTATAGGCTACCAAGATGAGAGTACCTAAAGAATAGTAAAAATAAGGATTTTAGAAATCGGATAGGATGGCGACAGAGTTATAAGATGAGAGGAGATAGTTTTATTTATATTAAGTAGTGTCTTCAGTTAAGTCAGCATGCTTGACTTTTCCCCCACGAGGCTTAGGGATATTCGAACTGTGGTAGCGAGGAATGCAGCTCAGGTGGGCCTAGTGTCCCTTGAGTCTTGCGAGGAGGGCGGATTAGGCTAACCTAAGTCCTGCGAGGGTGTGTCACCACGGTGACATGAGGAAGAGATAGTAATTAAGGGTTTTGGCGAGAATAAATAAGTATGCCTAGGTAGTAAGTTGAACTTCATTTCAATGTCTTTCTAATGTTTTGTAATATATGTATATACATGAACGCGTGAGTTCAGTACGAGTATATATATGAGGATATTGATTCAGTTTTTATAATTGTTTTTACAGTGGAGTTAGTATGTTCTTATACCATTTTCTAAAACTTTGTTTTTGGTCCACTCACATTTTTCAATGTTTTGCGCCCCCAGGTAGTAGGCGTGCACAGTGATCCACCACAGGGCCGTTCCCACTTCCCGCGCTTCCTCATTCTGATATAGGGCTCTTCTGTAAATGAGTTGACTCTTTTTGAAATTTCTTAGTGGTTGCTCTGATAATCTGCCCTAGAACTAAGATTTAATTTTTGGATTGTATATGTATACACATGCTGGCTGTTGGGTTGTATATATATGCTTGTTTAACAAGTGTAAATTTAGGAAATGATCAAATTAGAAGGGAGACTCTGCCGAAATTTTCCGTAGGAGTCAAGCTTGATATTTTATCGAGCTTAGAATAGAAGGGCAATTTGGTCATTTGTGCCCAACACCCGCCAGGTGTCGGACATGCACAGGGTTCGCCCTGGATTCCAAAGTGGAATTTGGGTCGGGTCTTGTCAACTTGGAAGATTAATATATATTTAGAAAATTAAAAATTAAAGATAATAAGTTTTATTTTTATGATATACAATTACTCATTATTATATATATATATAATCAATTGTCACGCATATTAAGAGTCT